TTATTCCTTGCCCACTCAACCAATTTTCCTCTCTCGACATGGTATCCAGCTAGATAGTTCCTAGCTATCGCGCTTCTGCCCGTAGCTGCTCCTCCTCACTCCCCTGCCGCCCTAGCTTAGGTCGCTCCTAGCCACCCACCCTCCCTTAGTTGCTAGATGTTCTGCCTGCAGCCCGCCACTGCCGCCCCTTGCAGCTCGCACCCACCGCTTCCTCCCAGCTCGCTGCTCGCAGCTGCCGCTGCTTGCGCCTGTCCGCGCAGTTGCAGCAGACTACGCAGCTGCTCGCTGCTCGCCGCTGCAGCCGCCCGCTGCTCCTTCGCAGTCCGCTGCCGCCACCAACTCGCAGCTCGCTGCCCCCACTCGCAACCCGCTGCTGCCCGCTCGCAGCTCACTGTCCAGCTGTCAGTGCAGCAGCTCGTTGCTTGCAGCTGCCACCACTCGTGCAGCTGCCCGCGCAGTCACACCCGCCTGCTCGCTCGTCGCCCACTCATAGCCCACCTGCCCGCTGCTCGCCAGCTGATGCCGCTCTACCACAAACCAGCTAGCCAGCAGTCAGCCAGCTAGCTGCCAGCCGCCAGCCAGTTGGCCAGCCAGCCTGCCGCTGCCAGCCAGCCAGCCGCAGCCAGCCCGCTAGCCAGCTAGCTAGCCAGCCGCCAGCCAGCTAGCCAGCAGTCAGCCAACTAGCCGCCAGCTGCCAGCTAGCTGGCCAGCCAGCCAGCCACCCGCCAGCCAGCTAGCCAGCCGCCAGCCGGCCGCCAACCAGCTAGCCAGCCGCCAGCCAGCTAGCTAGCCGCCAGCCGTGAGCAAGATAGCCAGCCAGCCAGCCATCGCCAGCAAGCTAACTTGCCAGCCACAGCCAGCCAGCCGCCGCCAGCAACTGCTCGCTGCTCGTTGCCGCCCGCTGTTGCCCGCTGCCGCTGCAACCCGACACAGATCCCCTTTTTCGCTTTGAGCGCTTGCCGATAGGGGTAGGGAGCCCGCGAGGACGACCTCCAGTGCCACACTCCCAGTGGTTCCTGCATCAGGCTGGGCACGCCGACACGGGTCGTGGCCAGCAGTCGTTGTGATAGGGATCACACTTGCCAATACAGAGAGACATCGGTTAGTATTGGATTACCCAAACTCCCTACGTCACAGCAAGGGTGCCTTACCTGCGGGCGCTGGAATCTCCTGCCATGGCATCACTCCACCGATGAAGTGATCGCACTACGCATCCCCCATGTGAGCTTGCACCAAGAGCATCGTGGCCATAGAAGATGGCCCACCCCTCATGCCCTCCGCAACCTCCTCAAAACTATGCCCTCATTGCTCCCACTCGGAACCCCACCATAGGAAAGCGGGACATCCACACACGAGGTGTCCCCTCCAACTCGCATCACCTTGCGTAACTCAGGATACATGTATTTTGCCTCGTCCTGCGCCATTGGGACATATGGGAATTTACCCATCGTCTCGCACACGTACTGTACTAGCATCTCTTTGAGCGACGCCTTTGCATCATTTACTCTCTCCTTCTCTATCAACCAGGCCCGCAATTTCTTGACACTCGCATTCCATAAATCCTCAATTCGTGGCAGAGATGGCATTCTACAGAACCAATGGCACTTACGTCGACAAAGTTCCCCCTCCTGGGGCGAACGTAGTCAATGGCATGTGGATCTATATATATATATTTTTGTGTTAGGATTATATGAATAACAACCTTCCTAGGGTTCAGTTTACAGTATATAGGGTATAAACATTTAGATATAGGTTTCTGTTTTTCCTTGCCAACTCAACCAATTCTCCTCTCTCGACACGTGCTCCCAAAATTACATGGTTGGAAAGGTGCCCGAAAAAACTTTTCCTTAAACATTAACACCATAAGGGGTGCACAGGGCTGCATGCACGGGGAGATAGGCAACTCAGCTGACCCCAGCATCAATCCTCATATGGCTCGTGGGGCGGAGCAGATGGGCATGCAAAGTGCAGTTTCCACCATCGCGTGATCAATTTGGCATATGGCACGGCTCCAAGATGGAGTGGGCGGTCCTGGCATGCTCGTACTTTGCACGCTGCTTTGACGTCACCTCGGCGCCAAGGGGAGCGGGGCGTGAGGGGGCGAGCAGCTCATTAGTGATGTGCGCCGCGAACGATTCGCCCTCCTGACCCTGGCTTGTCAGCTGTCTGTGCAGGGCAGAAAGCCAGGCCTCGAAACGGACCGCGTGGCCTTCGGAGTCCAGCCGAGGGACGAACACCGACACCGACGGGGCTGCCATGCCGGCAGGAGACCAAGACGCCACACGTATCCGGACAGCGGCTGGTGCTGACGAGGTAGCAGGCGGCTGGGGCTGCGGCTACGGTTGGGCACGGCTACGACTAGCAGCTAGGAAATAGTGAACGAGGCGACAGGCACTGGCGACTAGCAGCGAACTACGGCATCGACAGCTGCGGCTGCGGCTGCGGCTATGGCGCTGACGGATACAGCTGCGGCTACGGCGCTGGAGGCTGCGGCTGCGGCTACGGCGGCAACAGCGCTGGCGGCTGCGGCTGTGGCGCTGGCGGCTGCGGCGCTGGCTGCGAGCGGGCAGGCAACGAGCCAGCGGTGAGCTGGCAGCGGTGGACAGCGAGCAGCGGGCGGCGAGCAGCGGGCAGCGAGCTGTGCGCGGCGAGTAGCGGGCAGGGAGCAGCGCAAGGCGAGCAGCGGGCAGGGAGCAGCGCAAGGCGAGCAGCAGGCAGCAAGGCATCTGGCGATGGGTCGGAGTGCGAGCGCAGACTAGGGCGTGGGGCGGCGACAGAGCCTACGAGGCGCTAGGAGCCAGCTAGCCATGAGCATTGGCACGGCCCGACTCTGGGACGGTCTGGGCCAGGCCACGCTGGGGTTGGGTCGGTTTTGGCAAGTGCCAGACCCGGCCCGGGTTTAGGGGTCAGGCTGGACTTGGCCCGCAGTAGGCATGAGCAAAAGGCCAGGCCAGGCCAGTCCAAGGGCGAACCAGGCTGGCCTGCCATCCAAAACCAGGCGGGGGGCGAGCCGGTGTTGGGCCCGGATCGGGCCGGGCCACCTAAGCATGGACCTAGTCTTACAAACTCTCCTACTAATGTATAGCATTGTGTTGTGTTAGTAATCGGTGCTGATGCGTGTTGAGAGACCCTTGAACACAATGTTCTTCATCGTGCGGGTTGTGCTGGTGTAAAACATTTCACGAACAGGAGGCTGGGTAGTGCAGAAAACAAGTAGCCATGTGTTACGCGCTCTGAATTTGTGTCTGATACGGTTTCCTGTACTCTCGTCGTTTGTGCGTCCTCCAGAAACCTGGCTGACAACAGCTTGAGTGGCTCGATTCCTGACTCCATTGGCAAGCTCTTAACTCTTGCTTCCTTGTGAGCTCTTATTTATTGCTTCAACATACTCCGCCTCAGTGTGAATGGACCTATGCACGCCTTAAGCTATGTACGTTGTTCCATGCTTCGATTCCTAGAAAGAATTGACTGAAGAGGGACTAAGTTTCATTTTCACTCCAACTCATTTGGACAACGGTGCTGATGCTCAGCTGTATGTGCTTGAGCGTTCATATGGAATTTTTTCCATGGCACCTCGTATCCCCTTGCACTTCTTGTGCCTCTTACTTTGATTAGAGTTAGACATGGGCAGCATGCCGAGCCAAGCTCGGCTCGACCCGGCTCGACTCCCCTTTTTGCCGAGTCGAGGCGGGTTTTTTTTTTGGCCGGCTCGCCCCGAGTCGAGCCGGATCGAGCCGGCCGAACCGCGCGGCTCGGCTCAACTCGTCGCAAATTTCAGGGCGAGCCGAAGTCGAGCCGGCTCGACTTTGGCTTGACTTTGGCTCGACTCCCGAAGCGCGCGGCTCGCCCATGGGGGGTCAAATTTCGACCCCCCTGGAAGTTGACTATCCATTCTAGGTTTTCGCCATCGAGCCTAAGCGTACATCTGAGCTATTTCGCCACCCTAGTTTGCCGTCTCTCCACCAACACAGCTACTTTAGATTTTTTTCGACTACCTTTTGGTTTTGTAGGAAGGATGCAAGGGCTTAGGGACCTTTACCTGCAGAACCATTACAGCGATCTAGCGAGACCTTTTCAAAACCTGCAGAAGAAACCCTTTTGGCGAGTCGAGCCGAGCCGAGCCAGAGTCGAGGCGACCCTTGGCTCGACCCTGAACCCCCAAGTCGAGCCAACCATTTTGGGGCAGCTGGCTCGGGTCAAGCCGAGTCGGCTCGGGTCGAGCCGAGTCGGCTCGGCTCGACTTTTGCCTGGCTCGAGTTCGAGTCGAGCCGAGTCGAGCCAGGCTCGGTATGCTGCCCATGTCTAATTAGAGTTGTCTTAAATTTCAGTCTGGTGCCCACAATCCTGTGTTTTGGCCGCCACTTCACTCTTCCTTTTCTTCTTCCTCTTTCTTTTTCGAAATGTAGGTATCTCAATGGGAACAAGCTGTCTGGCTCGATACCAACAACGATAGGCAACCTTCAACTTTTGAACAACTTGTGAGCCTAATGCTCCTGTTTTCGCAAGATTCTTTTGCCTCGTCGTATTCACGTGAGTGGAAATCGCCACAAAAGCTGCTCAAGCATCAAATGACTGTGTTCATGCACCCTCAGAGAAGACCCAGTGTGAGTGAGACAGAGAGCAGAGAGTTTCTTGCTGGAAGGCAAGCCAACACCACCCTGCTAAAAGGGAGTGTTCGTCTGGTGGGCCAATGTACTCGCTCATGATTCCCTGGGCGCACCGGTAGGCTGTAGCCCCCAGCCCAGTGATCAGAATTGCGTTTCAATGCGTCCTTCCCAACAACCTCCTTCACCAGGGATGACATAGAACATGGGGCTTAATTGCGCACGTATGGGGATTTGAACCGGAGATCTTCAGCTTGTATACCAATCTATAAAAACTTCAGAGTGTACTAACTTCTTCCATGTGTGTCTCCCGTAATGGAAACCCATCCCCGTGCGTACATCTTGCGTCCGGTCAGGAATCTGTCTGCAAACAGCCTGATCGATTCTATTCCGTCCACTATTGGACGCCTAAGCAACCTGGCGTACTTGTGAGTATTGTGACATTGCATTGGCAACTCCAGTTTCATGCGTGTAACTTTTCTTATTGATTCACTTGTGAGGCTCACATTGACTCCGTCTGTTATTGGGAACCCGAAAAACCATTTACATCAATTTTAGAGACCAAGGACGCTCACGATACCTTTGCCATCTGAAGTATTTCTCCGTTTAGTGTGATGAAGGAATCGAGATTGTCGCCCTGTGATGGTCACCTCTGAGAGTTCTGAGTGGCTGAACCATCCAATATGCCTTCCACGCAATTGCCTACTTCCAATCGTGAATGCAGGAACCTTGATTTAAACTCTCTGTCCGGTTCTATACCCGAGTCACTTGGGAGGCTTGCCAACTTGAAAGAACTGTATGACATCGATTGATCTTCCGAGATCATCCCACAAAGATACAGCTTCCTGCATCCGCTTTATCAATTGGCTGAAAGCATATTTATATGGTTTCTCCCGTACTGCTATGTTATGCGATACTTTTAAAAGTTCCCATCACCTCACCCCTCCTTATTCATCTCTTTTCCCCTGCTCTCATCAGACATCTTGCTAACAACAGCCTGACTGGCAACATCCCTGGCTCCATTGGCAACCTCGTGCAGCTTTCTATCTTGTGAGTGCTATTTTCCTACAGCTGACATCTGATCAACTGCCAGATTGACATGATGGAAGTGCCGTGAGCTGTGTGCTCATAGTACCACAAAGCACATGACAGGTGCTAAGTGGGAAAATTCGCGTTCCGCGTAAATTCGCCCATACGCCAGGGCCCCATTTTAAATGTGCTAGGAAATTCGTTCGGCCCGGGCAGAAAAAAATAGCCCGGGCAGGAAAAAAACGGTTTCCCGGTAGGGGGGGCGTGGGGGGGTGTCAGCGCAACACTTTTCAAACAATAACGTTTTAGCACAGAATAAATATTGCTTTTCAAAATTCAACCTGATACATCGCCTGTCGCGTCCTCACTAGCGCCCTGATCCGGGAGGTTCAAGTTTCAACCTTGCAGCTCGAATTCTCGTGCGGTAAGCTAGAGTCTGTGCTCAAACTTGATCAACTAGCGAAGTCGCGGAGGGATTAGGTTACTGCTACCTCTGGCAGAGTAGCGTGAGATGCGCGATAGGGTTGCGTAAGTTGTGTGGTGCGTGATGAGTAGCGTGAGATGGGTTTGGTTTGGTCTGGGTAGAGTAGCGTGAGATGCGTGATGGGTTTGGTTTTCTAGATGCGGTGGGGTTTGATGCGGTTGGGAGCTTGGGAGGGGTTGGAAGCATGTTTGGGGGGTCAAAAGTTGGAAGCGCGAATTGCCGAGGCCACGGATGGCTTCGTCATGTCGTCGCAAATCATGAAGACAAATTCGCGTTTTTTTGTCCAGGCTGCCCCAAAAAATTCCCCCCAGCGTTTAGCAAGGCACAACGAATCCCGGCGATATGCATGGGAAAATTTGCTCCCCTCAAAATCAAGGAAGGAAGTTACGAGTTTTACTTGGTACTTTGCTCTTGTTCTTAAGGCCTAGCTCCAAACAATGAGTCACATGCATTGCTATTCTTTTTCTTTTTCTCACACGTGCAGGGATCTGAATGAAAGTGAAGTTACATGCCCTCCTGACTATACCCCATGTGTGGCGAAACAAAGACTTCAGAGCGCCTTTTGCCGCAAGTGCCCCTCTTTCTGCACCACCTGTGCCAAGGCAGCACCACGTGAGGCAAAACGAGCTGTCCTCCTTCGCATGCTGTCTCCCCAACATCAGTCTCTCTGGATGAAGCTTCACCACACATCCCCACAGTAAAGATGTCCACTACCCCACATCCCTCCCATGCAAGTGGGTCGGTATGCCACTGGGGAATCGTCAGAAATGCTGCGTTTAATCGAGTTTGACTCGAGTTTAATCGACAGACCATTCACGTGCTATGCCAGCAATGCCACGCCCGCTGTGCTTCTCACCGCCTCTCACCGGTGTTGTCTGCCATGCCATCACATCCCTTGTCCCGCCCCTTGCCTCTTCAGCACCTCCCACAGCCCCATCGGCACCAGCTGAGTCTCCATCGCCGTCCTCCTCTTCAGCCTCCTCGCTTTCCCCTGGAGCGTCGGCCTCCCAGTCTGGAGGCGGTCTGTCGGCGGGAGCCATTGCTGGCATTGCTGTGGCTGCTGTGGCTTCCCTGCTGGGGCTGCTGCTGATTGGCATGCTGCTACTTCGAAGACCGGCACAAGGAGAAGCTACAGTGGTAAAGAAGGGCGAGGATGCGGCACCACAAAGAGATATTGAAGGTAAGAATGATGGCCCTCCTCCCCTCACTCCACCTCCTTTCTCCCTCGTTTCTCCCTCTTTATCAGGCGGTCCTTGTGATCCCACGATCTGGGCAGAGCGCACTGAAGGGTACCCTTTTAGGGGTTAGAGGACGAAGCGGGGGAGCCGATCGGCGTACCCTCATAGGTAGACATGAGCACGGGGCGAGGCGAGGATTCCTTGACTCGAGGATCTCATCCTCGCGCCCTAGCCGAGGCGGGTCGAGGAATCCTCGCCGAGGATTTTTCATGAAAATCCCCCCTCGACCCCCGGGTTTTGGGGTCGAGGATTGAAATCCTCGCCTCGAGGATTAATTCCTTGACCCGGGGCGAGGATTCCTTGACCTGGGCGGCTGGGGGGTTAGGGGGAGAGGGGTAATGGGAACATCCTCGCCCATTTGCCTCGAGGAAAAATCGAGGCCTCGAATCCTCGCCGAGGCGGGGCGAGGAATCCTCGCGAGGATTTTTCCCAGAAAACCTGCCTCGACCCCCGGAATTTCGAGGCGAGGATTTCCGAGGCGAGGAAATCCTCGCCTCATTGCTCATGTCTACTCATAGGGGAGTAGAGCCAACGGTTGGGCTGGTTGCAAAATTTCTCCACACAAACGGTTAGTGAATTCTCAAGTAAAGCGGTGCAAGCGAGAGTATCCAAGGGTATGTTCCCAGTGTCCGCCATTAGTAACGTGCACCTGTTCCCCAAGGTAGTGTGCCCAGGGGTCTGCTGGAGCTTGGGGTGCACTGGGGATCGGGGTGCACGGGGGCTCGGGGTGCACTGGTGACTGGGGTGCACTGTTGATAGGGTTGCATCTGGGCTTGGGGTGCGCTGGGGCTTGGGGTGCGCTGGGGCTTGGGGTGCACGGGGGCTCGGGGTGCACTGGTGACTGGGGTGCACTGTTGATAGGGTTGCGTCTGGGCTTGGGGTGCGCTGGGGCTTGGGGTGCGCTGGGGCTTGGGGTGCGCTGGGGCTTGGGGTGCGCTGGGGCTTGGGGTGCAGGGGGCTCGGGATGCACTGGTGACTGGGGTGCACTGTTGATAGGGTTGCGTCTGGGCTTGGGGTGCGCTGGGGCTTGGGGTGCGCTGGGGCTTGGGGTGCGCTGGGGCTCGGGGTGCGCTGGGGCTCGGGGTGCGCTGGAGCTTGGGATGCGCTGCTGCATGGATAGATTGCTCAAAGTTGTGGAGAACCTTGTAAGCTCTGGGCGCGCTGCAGCGTCTCTGACCACCTCTGCCTAGTCTAGGGCACAATAGCCAGCAGGGGTCAAACGGCATGGGGGGAGGTGTGATATCAGAGAGGGCAATATCTACAAGGGCATTTGCATAGATCAATTTTCCAAATTCCCAACGTGCTTACACCCTGCACTGCTAGGACCTTGGTAGATTTACTCTTCCAAGTCGCGTAAACGTGTATTTACTCGTAAATGTACTTTTAAATCTTATTAGCTCGTACATCTTTGTAATTTCTGGCGTGCAGCATAAAAAAACAAATCAGGGGCAGGAATAGAGTGGGGAGATTGAGTTTGATCGAGGAGCAGTCACGTCTATGGTATTCTTGCACACTGCAATCTAGGACACTGATATCTCTGCAAGTGCGCTGCATGTTTGTCCCTCATCTCATCCCATGAGCAGGCCTGGCTGGCAGCGTGGCAGCCTCTCACTGCACCGAGTACTCCCTTGAGGAAGTCATGGCAGCCACGAGCAACTGGTCCGATGACAACCGGCTTAGCTCTGGTGCCTTTGGTGATGTGTACAAGGGCGTGTCTCCAAGGGATGGCACCACAGCGTGGGCCGTCAAGCGAGCTAAATTGCTTGACGCTGACTTCCAGAAAGAGGTAAGTTAACCCATGCCGAAAAGTAAAAGCATGTAGGCATACTCCCTTGCAGTTGAGCGATTTTTAAAAGGTCCTATCCAAATGTGTCTTTTTTAAGATCCGGTCTCATTATGGCTTGTCTCTCTCTCAGGTCCGACAGATGGCCGACAAGAACCATCCCCACCTTGTGCGCCTGCTTGGGTTTGCCGCTGGAGGGGACATGAGGACACGCCTGGAGCAAGTCTTGATCTACGAGTTTGTTCCAAACGGGGACCTGGAGATGTGGATCTCTACAAGTATGTAATATTCCACAGGCCATGTGTTTCTTTGCTATATTGTGTCATGAATTGGTGGCTCATGTTTTGCCACTCACGTGTGTACTTTGCAGAATCACACTTTCAGCTCAGCCTGAAGCAGCGGCTGGACATCCTCCTTGGTGCTGCTCGTGGCTTGGAGTATCTCCACAGCTTTGGCCTTGTGCATCGTGACATCAAACCTGCCAACGTCCTGCTCCGGGCTGACATGCAGGCAAGCTTGATGAACGTGCTCATTCTTTATTCCAGAGATAACCATGCAAACGTATAGTTGATAGTAGCGAAGGAGGATAATAGATCTCTGGGAATTCATGCTTGTGTCTTGGGAGGTAAGATTGCTGCTGGTGGGGGTGTCGGGGTTGCTGTCTTGAAGGCTCTCAACGTTTTCTAAGCATTGGGGAGCCACAAATTTCTTTCATAGCTCTTTGCTTATGCATAGGCGAGAAACAAACCCAATAAAATGGTAAGGAGCATGAGTCTGCCGTTTCCAATCAAGATTCAAGACGTACGTAACATCAATGACTGTGTCGGCTTCTTTTCCCATGCCACACCTTGGTGCGCCACACGCTCTTGTCAGCTTGCTTGAAGCAGACACAGGAAAGTGATGTACAGCTCTCACTTGTAATGGAGTGAGTGCACAACATTCGAGGGGAAACTGGGTGTGTTACCAGCCCCATATATCTTTCGTGGGACGATATGCAAAAGCATTCTCTTTTAGTAGTATACTTGATACAGAAGCAACTCTTTATCACTCTTCCATTCAACGGTGCCTTTCCTTATGTTCTCGGTCATGCCATCCATCAGGCCAAGATTGCGGACTTTGGGCTAGTGAAGGCCTTAGAGGGCTCAACAGCGGGTACTACTCGAGTCATGGGAACACCGGGCTATTTGGATCCCATCTACTCCCGCACGTCCAAGGCAACCACCGCCACCGATGTGTACAGGTGAGCTCGGATTCACAACAGCTGGTCTAGGTGCTGACTTTTGAGATGTCCAGGAAGATTCTACTGTTGGTGTGCGATTGAACGTAAGTGGGACGCTAGTTGATCACATGCTGATGCGATCATTTATTGATCATGAGCGTATTCTCTTGCAAACTGATTTTGAGCATATTCCTTCACACATAGATCATCTGGTCAATCTAACTGCTAACCACATCCACCCTAACTGCTATCCACATCCTTCACTCGGTGCAGCTTTGGTGTGCTGATACTTGTGGTCCTCAGGGGGCGAAGCCCGACTGCTGCAGCTGATGGGGAGAGCAAGCACATACTGGCATGGGTAAGTCACACCATTCAGCAGCATGCACATGGCAATACCATTCCCCATGGCACTGCTAAAGGTACGCTGCATAGAGCAATGCAAATTGTCAGCCTCTAAGTGTCTCTTAGTCGCTACGTAAATCTTGCTTCTGCCCTTCAGCCTGTTCCCATCCCCTCGTTTTCACTCCTTCAGGTGGAGGCCTGCCTGGCGTCCGACAGCCCGACCCGCCTCAAGGACCTCAGCATGGACGCCCCTGATGATGCTGTGCTGCGCTTGGCCCAGCTGGCTCTCAGCTGCTCTGCAGAGTGCACTGCGAGCCGCCCAAGCATGGCTAGTATTGCCAACGAGCTGCAGGGCATCAGGAATGAAGTGGTGGGGAAAGTGGAGCTGAGTGCAGCAATTAAGGTGGACGAGCAAGTCCAGCAGTTGAAGGGCTCATTATCCACAGATGCGCATCTGCAATGCATTGACAACCTCCTGCAGGCGAACTCCTTTGAATGAAGGCAGCTACTTGACTAGAGTTCTTGGCAGCGGTAATCTACAATACTCAAGATTTGGTGACGTTTCTTCTTGGATTAGAGGTACTACACAGGTGGTAGAACAGATTGTTGAGACAAAAAGTGCTTTGATGCCTATAGTTATGAAGGGGGTCGTGATGACTGTATCAGAAATTAGAATTGAATGATCGTAAAGTGAGAGTACACACAAATATATCTAAGTTTTGTATCCTCTAAGAGGTGACTCTATACAGTCTATACAAACATGACAAATACACATGTTTGACACACCCCCTAGACTGCATAGGGGAATACCCTAAACAAGCAGCTCAGGGCGGCACTACTAGTCCAACCTCTGAGGCAAGGGTCTGAGCGACCGGTCAGAAGGAGTACAGACAAGGCAAGCACAAGAGCAGGGCGGCACTACTAGTCCAGCCACTGGGAGAGAACACAAGTCCAGTCTGAGTATACATATAAAGGACAGTACAAAGTCAAGGTCCTAGCAAGTGAGAGGCTACAGGAACTAGACCAAGCTGTACACAGTGCCGCTGATGATCTTTAGGCGCAAGCGCCTTCGTAAAGATATCAGCCATGTTGGCACCTGAGGCCAAGTGTACTACGCGAGCCTGACGTCGCTGCTGTAGCTCACGCAGGAGGAAGTACCGCAGCTGAATGTGCTTCGCTCTGCCCTCGAGTCGAGGCTCCTGACACAGGAGGATCATGGCCCTGTTGTCAGCGAACAGGACCGGGGCAGAGCTATGCCGCTCACCTAAGTCAGTGAGCAAGAAGGTCAGCCAGCGGAGCTCCTGTGCCGCCATGGCACCGGCGTAGATCTCAGCCTCACAGCTGGACTGTGCAACAGACGAGGAGCGAGTAGCTCTCCACGAGACGGCACCTGAGCCAAGGCTGAAGCAGTAGCCCTGGGTAGACCGGAGTGTCTCAGCGTCGTCTGCCCACGAAGCGTCTGTGTGCCCAGTAAGGACCGCTGGCCTGCGTCCTCCTAGCACTAACCCCATGCCCGATGTACTAGCAAGATAACGCAGAACCCTCTTAGCGGCAGACCAGTGCTGCGGTCGGTGTCTGCCTGTGGCCACAAAGCGAGCCAGGATGCTGAGAGGGTATGCGAGATCTGGGCGAGTGCAAGTCATCAGGTACATGAGGCAACCCACCAGCTCTGCGTAGGGGCCGCTGGGCTCTACCAACTCCTCAGGCACTGGAGCGGAGAGCCTGTGGTCTACAGGCAGAGGGGTGGGCTGTGCAGAGGAGAACTGAAGGCTGAACCTCTGAAGGACCTGGCGCACCAAGTGTGACTGAGTCAGGGTGATGGTGCGCGCAGCTCTGTCCCTGGAGATCTGCAAGCCAAGGTAACGGCGCAGTTCTCCAAGGTCAGTGCAGGTGTGTCTCTTCAGCAGCTCTGCCTTCACGGAGGCCAGCGCGTCCCTGTCTGCTGTGGCAAAGACCAGGTCGTCGACGTAAACGAGGATGTAGAACGGAGTCTGGCCAGCACGAACGAAGAGTGAAGGGTCTGCAGAAGATGGAAAGAACTGCAGGTCAGCAAGCGTAGCACGCAGAGTGTCGTGCCACTCACGGGGAGCCTGGCGCAGGTCGTAGACGGGGCGCCGCAGGAGCCACTGGGTCCCAGGAGGGAAGGTGCCAGTAAAGCCCGGAGGGCGGCGCAGGTAGACCTGCTCGTGTAGGCTGCCCTGAAGGAAGGCACTGGAGAAGTCGAGGGAGTGAAGCTCGTAGTCACGCTGAGCAGCTAGGTGTAACAGAACCCGAAGAGTAGTCATCTTCGGGGTCGGAGCGAAAGTCTGGAAGAAGTCCACCCCCTCGCGCTGACTGAAGCCTCTAGCCACATAGCGCGCCTTGAAGACAGGCGGCTCTCCAGGAGGGCGCTTCACCTTGAAGAGCCAGCGGCCATCGACTACGTTCACCCCAGGTGGGGAACTGCGCCGACGAAGGTGCCGGTGGATCTCCAAGATGCCATCTCCTGCTCCATGGCAGCTATCCACTGCGAGGCCCAGGGTCCCGAAGTCGCCTCAGCGTAAGTGCGAGGGGTCGGGATGTCGAAAGCGTCTGGGTCGCCCTCAGGGACTAGCAGCATGGAACAGAGATGGGGAGCAGTCTCGGAGAGGAAAGCAAGCTCGAACTGGCGGTCCTCCAGGACGTCACTGCCAAGGGCAGGAGCACCCCCGACAGACGGAGGACAGGCAGGGTAAGAGACCAGAGCGGAGGCGTAGTCAAGGCGGCGGGTAGAGGCGAAGTCAGCGACAGCAGCGACAAGAGCGTCAAGGCACGAGACTGGAACAGACGGGTCGGTAACGAGAGAGGCAAGGACCCGAGGAACGAGAGGACGAGCGGCACGAAGGTAGTCGGACAGCGGGGGGGGCGCAACAACAAGGGAGGACGGAGGAGGCGACGGCAGAAGGGGAGGACGAGACGCGTGTGAACGAAGCAACATAGGGTGGGAGCGCAGGACAGGCGAGGCAGGACGAGCACGGGAGGGACGGTGAGACCAGACGTGCGATGGAGGAGTCGGGTCAGGAGACAGGGGAGGGGACACAGGAGGGGAACGAGGGGGAGACGGGCCGGGGACGAGTCCGGCGGAGGGAAAACAGGGCCGTAGACAGGAAGAGGAGGAAACGGTCGGGGAGGAACCGACGCAGGGTCGGGGGACGGAAGGCCGAGCAGGCGAAGGGCGGACACCGGCGGGGACTGCTGCTGCGGCGGCACAACGGCGACACCTGGACCGCAAGCTGCTCCGCGGCTACCACCGGCCTCTCCACACCCGCACCCCCAGAGGGACCACCCTCAGGGCGACCGGGACGAGCACCCCAGAGTCAGCGAACGGGGCTGCGACGGCGGCGGCGGCGGCGACGGCGACGGCTGCAGTGGCGGCAGGGGCGGCGGAGGAGGGGACTGGGGAGGGGACACCTGGGGAGGGCGGCCGGGAGGACTGCACCGGAGGGCCACCAGAGTCAGAAGACTCCTCAACCGGGTCCACGGACGGAAGGGGGGTGACGTGGGAGACACCAGAGGGGGCAGGACGGGGAGGAGGAGGAGGAGGGGCAGGGACTACCGGGGAAGGGGTGACCAGGAACAGGGGGGGGGTAACCGGGGGACCACGGTGGGGGAAGCGGCGGTAGTAGGAGATGGACTCGTCAAAGGTGACGTCACGAGAGTGAAAGAAGCGGTGAGACGGCGGGTGGTAAAAGTGCCAGTCGGACGCGTCAAGGGGAAAACCGAGGAAGACGCAGGGAAGGGTGCGGGCAGTGAGCTTGTCCATGCCGGAGGCACAAACGTGAGCAAGGCAGCCCCAGACGTGGAACGCAGACGCGTCACCAGGAGACCCAGTCCACAGACGGGTCGGCGAAACCTGCGGCTGCTGAGGGTGCGGCCACAGGTTAAGCTGGTGAGAAGCGTAGCGCACAGCGAACGGCCACAGAAAATGGGGTGCACCGGCATGGACCATGGAGGTGCGAGCGACCTCCATGACCAAGCCGATGCGTCGCTCAGCGACCCCATTCTGCTGTGGGGAGTCCGGTAGGGTGAACGTCTGGGTGATGCCCTCCGCACGACAAAAGCGACCAAGGACACCTGAGGCAAACTCGCCACCACGGTCTGAGTGAAGACGCAAGACAGGGAGACCGCGGTGGACACGCGCAGAGACAAGCCAGGGGATGAGGGCGCCAGGCACGTCGGCCTTGCGCTCCAGGGGAAAGACTGTGGTGTAACGAGTGAAGTCGTCGACAAGCACAAGGAAGTAGCGCTCGCGACGCGGCCCAGGGACGGGGGCGGGGCCCCAAACGTCCAGGTGCAGGGTCTGCAGCGGCGCGGCGGTAGGGGGAACGAGGAGGAGTGAGGGGCACGGCGAAGCCGACCCTCGACACAAGGCGTGCAAGGTGGAGCTGGGGAGGAGGGAAACGCGGGGAGTGAACCTGGGAGACCAAGGACAAGACCGTGCTGGGACATGTGATGCAGACGCGGGAGCGCAGGGTGACCAAGGCGGTGGTGCCACAGGAGGGTCGGGTGAGTGAGGGAGCGACAGGAGCAGGCAGCAGCAACCTGGGTAGACACAGCCACCTGAGGGGCGCTCCAGCCGGGGGGGCACGGTGTCCAGAGTGAACAGGCCGGACACCGGGTCCCGGGGGAACGTGGACAGGGGGGCACCAGTGGCGGCCTCGGTACAGACAGCATACCGCTCGTGACCAGGGAACGTAGTGGTGACGCCAAGGTCCTGGAGGCAGCCGACACCAACAAGGTTCCTAGAGAACGAGGGGATATGCAGACCTGTAAGAGAGCCCGAAGGAACCGCCGGACAGGGAAGGGTGGTGGAACTGCGGGCGACTACCGGACCGCCGGAGGGGTCAGCAAGAGAAACGGCAGCAGGAACAGGAAGCGGCGTCAGGGTGGTGGAGTCGCGGAAGAAACACCGAGAGGCGCCAGAGTCCAAGGTGAAGGAAAGCGAAGCCGAGGGGTCTGGCGACGGAACGACGGCAGAAGCACCAAGACTACACAAAGCAGGGGACCCTACGCCTGACGCAGCAGGGGAGGCTAAGCTAGGCACACCTACACTAGGCAACAGGGAGTAATAAGTCGGAAGCACACTAGAGTCATCAGCATACATCACATGCAGAGCAGAAACAATGGCATCCATGTCCATATCAAAGATCTGAATCTGACGACTAAGCAAACTGTGCCAGTCCAGGAGGTCTGGCGACGGGCCGAAACGCTGACGAAAGAGGTCGTCCAGGCGACGAAAGCAGCGGGGAGTGGAGTGACCGATCTTACCGCAAACGAAGCCGCGGCGAGGACCGGTCTGGATCTGGTACTGACAACGCCCGCCGGCAGAGCCACCACGCGGCAAACCACCACGCGCCCGTCCACCGCCAGCGCCGGGCCACCCTGGCGGGAGAACACTCGTCTGCCGCGTCTGCGACGGCTGCTGCGGCTGCTGCGAAGGCTGCGACTGCGGCGGCTGCTGCGGCTGCTGCAACTGCAGGGGCGGCGACTCAGCTGGACTGGGCAGGGTCCCCTCGTCCGCTCCAGCACCAGGCGACCCGACCCCACCACTACCCCCGCCCGCACCCCGCCGCCCCCTCCGCCGCGCCCAGCCTTGGGGCGGCGGCCCTTCCCAGAATGGGCCTGCGCTGCAGCAGCATTCTCAGCCACTGCGGCAGAGCCGTCGGAGAAGGTACACTGAGCGGGGGCACAACCCTGAAAGATAGGG